TTTTTTTTTTTTTTTTTTTTTGACAAAAATCAATCAAGAGATAAGTGGAAAAAAATGTAAGGAATTGAAAGAAAATATGAATAGATGGGTTGAATACAAATAGAATTATAAGATTCAGATTTATGGAGTAATTTATTTATTTACCTTTCTTAGCCTGGAGCAGATTCCTCCCACGTAGAGCCTCCTCATAAACAAAAACGCTATCTGCATCTTTGTTTGTATTTTTATATTCGAATATATAGATTAATTCGATCTATACAAAAATCGACCCATTAATTATTCATTTTTATTTGTATATGAAATGAATTATTATACGTATACCTGATATGAAGAATGAAGAGCATGATGCTGGAAAAATAAATGAATTTAGAATAATAATGACGACAGCAATAGAGCTGCCATTGTACGGACACTCCATTTAGTATATTGTTCTTCTTCTGTGGATCGGTTTGCAGAACAAAAAGAAAATAAAATCAGTAATTCGAAACGGAAAGAATAATTATAATAATAATAATAGGATCAGAAATTGACGAAGAAAATTAAAAGAAATTAATGGGTGATTCGTGAATGGCGTTGAGGCTGTTTTGCGTTTCAAACAAAAATGAGCATTAATTTAATTTATTCCCTATTTTCTTCAGATTTTGTTTTTTGGACAAAAAAGGAGGAAAATACAAATAATTATGACGCTCGAGGAAAGAAACAAGACATTGCCCGGATCCATGAAAAGAAATTGTACATTGTCCGTATTCAAGAAAAAGACAAAGAATGTTGAGGATCTTCAATCAAACAAGGATCTCTAGTAGCCTTATTGGTCTTCCTCGACGACGTCAACAGCTACAGGTCAATCCTTTTTCTCTTGTTCAAAGACGTCAGCAACTACCATCGCACGTCAGACTTCTCTCTTCACGTCAGAAGCCACCGGTGCACATTAGACATCTCTCTTCTCCAACAATGTCATCAGTCACCGACGCACTTCTGACGTTCTGAAGAATTATTATTTTCTATGATTAATACAATGAATCCACCTCCCTTTATATACAAGTAGGAAGGGGTTACAATAAGGAAACAATAATAAATATGGATCCTATACAAATAAGGAATATACTATAATTGATACAAGAAATATACTTAACATATATAATAAATATACTTAACATATTTAACAAGCTGCCGACTCCGTTGGAGATCTTCGAATCCCAAGATTATGTCGAAAGTCAGAGAAGATAATAGAAGGCAGTCCTTTAGTAAAGATATCTGCGAACTGAGAGGAAGAAGGGACATGAAGGACTCGAACTTGACCCAGCGCTACTTTGTCTCTTACGAAGTGAATGTCAACTTCGACATGCTTGGTACGCTGGTGCTGCACTGGGTTGGAGGATAGATAAACGGCGCTAATGTTGTCACAGAAAACAATTGTGGCTCGGCGCAGGGGTTGATGTAGTTCAAGTAGAAGATTTCGGATCCAACTGGTTTCAGCAACGGCATTCGCTACGGCTCGGTACTCGGCTTCGGCACTAGATCTGGAGGTGGTGCCTTGTCGTTTGGAGGACCACGAGACGAGATTGTCCCCTAGAAAAACACAGTAGCCAGATGTGGATCGTCGTGTGTCAGGACAGCCGGCCCAGTCGGCGTCGGAGTAGGCCTGTAGGAGATCTGAGGAGCCGCGGGACAGTGTGATCCCATGAGTAGAGGTGCCCCGTAGATAACAGAGAACCCGTTCCAAGGCAGTAAGATGAGGCGTCCGAGGGGCATGAAGGTAGAGGCATAACTGCTGTACTGCATACGTGAGATCGGGTCGAGTGAAAGTAAGATACTGAAGAGCCCCAACAAGAGAGCGATAAAGAGATGGGTCGGGGACCGGATCACCATCTGTAGCGGACATTTTCCCTTTGGAGTCCACAGGTGTAGAGATGGGCTTACTATGTAACATGCCTGCTCTGTCCAGAATCTCGTGGGCAAACTGAGTCTGATGTAAGAAGAGCCCCTGTTTGGTGCGCTGGACATTAATGCCGAGGAAGAAATTAAGTTCCCCCATATCAGTCATGGCGAATTCACCTTTTAAGCGTTCAGTGATCTGAGATAATAGTAAGGTGGTCGAGGCTGTGAGCACAATGTCATCAACATAAAGAAGCAGGTATGCCATGTGTGTGCCATGTGTGTAGACAAACAGGGAGGTATCAGTCTTGCAGCCCTGAAAACCAATATGACGTAAAAATCCAGCAAACCGTTGATACCAAGAGCGAGGTGCCTGTTTTAAGCCGTAGAGAGCCTTCTTTAGTTTGCAAACATGGTGGGGGCGAGAGGGATCCTCGAACCCAGAAGGCTGACCTGCATAGACAGTCTCTTGAAGGTGGTCATGGAGGAAAGCATTCTTAACATCCAGCTGATGTATGGGCCAGCCCCGAGAGAGGGCCAAACCGAGGACAATCCGGATGGTGGCCGGTTTAATGACCGGACTAAACGTATCGCTGTAGTCGATGCCGAAACGCTGGTTGAACCCTCGGACTACCCAACGAGCTTTGTACCTGGACAGATCACCTGTGGGGCCAAATTTGTGTCGAAAAAGCCATTTTCCAGTAATAACATTTTGAGTGGGGGAGGGGGGTACTAATTCCCATGTATTATTCTTTATTAGAGCATTAAATTCATCACACATTGCATCATACCAGTTAGGATCTTTCAGGGCGCTACGATAGGTTGGGGGAAGAGGTGAGATGTGGACTGTAGTGTTGAGGTTAAGGATGGATTTGGGGCAGTGGATGCCAGACTTAGCGCGGGTGGTCATTGGGTGTGTGTTTGTGGAAGTGGAGGGGTTGGGCTGGGCGTGCGTAGTGGGCTGTGTCGTGGGTTGGGCTAGATGGGAGGGTTGGGCCGAGGATTGGCTGGGTAAAGTTGGCTGGGCCGAGGATTGGGGCTGGGTCGGAAGAAGGGGAGTGGGCCGTGAGCTGGAAGGGAGGGGGATTGTGGGCTGGGCCGTGATAGAAAGTGGGACAGGGTGGACCGTGAGGGGTGGCGAGGGTTGGGTAAGTTGGCGTAGGTTGTGAGGAATTGTGTCGTCTATGGGGTCAAAAAATTGAGGTCCTGGGGCGTGGTGGGGTGGGCGAAAGGAAAAGTGGATTCGTCAAAAGTGACATGGCGGGAGATAATGATTTTGTGGGTGGTTAGATCGAGGCATCGAAATCCACGTTGATTAGAGGGGTAGCCGAGGAAAATACACCGAGTGGACCGGGGAGATAATTTGTGAGGAGTAGTGGCGGAGATGTTCGGGTAGCATAGACATCCAAAAACTCGAAGATGGTCGTAGGCGGGTGGTGTCTGAAAAAGTACTTCGTGGGGAGTGCGTTTGTGGAGGGTGGTGGTGGGTAAAAGATTGAAAAGGTGGCAAGCCATATGAAGTGATTCTACCCAATACTCGGGGGGAAGTTGGGCTTGAAAGAGCAGGGTTCGGATCGTGTTATTGATGGTTCGGATAGTACGTTCGGCACGACCATTTTGTTGGCTTGTGTGGGGGCAAGAGAAGCGAAAAATAATGTCTAAGGAGTTAAAAATGGTTTGAAGAGGGGTGTTACGGTATTCTGTTCCATTGTCATATTGTACAATTTTAATGGTTGTGTTAAAATGATTTTTCACATAAGCTATAAAATTTGTTAATTGAGAAAAAACATCAGATTTGTGACGTAAAGGAAAAACCCATAAATAATGAGAAAAATCATCAAGAAGAAGCATATAATGTTTAAAGCCAGTAATGCTAGGTACGGGCGATTGCCATAAATCAGTATGCATAAGTTGAAATGGAAAAGTAGAAATACGACAAGCGTGACACAAAGTGTCGTTAAAAGATTTATTATTAAAAACAAATAAAGGAGGGATGGCATGAAGAACGACGGCTGGGCTAGGGTGACCAAGACGACGATGCTACGTCTGGGTGTCAACAGAGGCAGCGTGTGCTTGAGCAACCGGGATGTGCGTGCGCAGAGGGTAGAGGGGGCCGTTATCATTGGAGCGATGAATCACGTTGCCCGTCCGAGGATCCTTCACAGAAAAACCAGTAGAGTCAAATTCAATAGTACAATTGTTATCACGAGTAAACTGACGAACTGAGATAAGGTTATGGATGATGTGGGGGGAGATAAGTACATTATGAAGGGACAAGGGTGGGGAGGTGGGAAAAATGTGTTTACCAACTGCTGTAGCGCGTACTTTGGATCCATTACCCACAGTGATGAAAGGTGGAGATGAATTTAAATTTTTTGAATAAACATGGGAAATAGTACCTGGGTCGGAGACGATATGATGAGAAGCACCGGTGTCCATGAGCCACGTGGGTTCACGGAGGGTCATTGTGTCAAATTG